GAAAAGGTTCCTGGACATGGAAAACACTGAAAACATTAAAAATAGAGGATTATATAGCTGTTTTGCTGATTATTTAACTATATTATTTAAAATAAAGGATTAGCAATGTAATGGAATCATTCATGAGATGCTACGCAATCGTCTGCGACACTACTGATTTGTTTAATAAAGGTTATTACTTGTGCTTTAGTGATATTTCAATGTATCTGCAAATGGAACAAATTACCTGCATATAATTTGACGTAAAACTTCAAATATTATTCATATAAAATATTTAAAAATAGAATCATCTCTATCTATACATTGAGAAAATGATCCTTGTCAAGATCGTCGAATTCTATAAAGTACTGATAGAATGTAATATAAATCAGAAAATTCATCAAAGTAAATCTGTTATAAAAATGTGGTCATAAAAATGCGTTGATGGAAGGCTAGTAAAAAATGACCCTATTCTAATCAATGTCACCGCTTTACCAGAAATGTACCATTCTGGGAACCAGGTAAAACTGGTAGAAAATTGACCCTTGACTGTTAGAATCTGTGATGGTTTAACTATCATTGCGGGACAGTTGAGCATTTGTAAATAAATGGTAAATGATATAAAATTCTCTAGACTATATCGAATATCGTTTGTAAATATTGTCGCGTTGAAAACTAGACGCAAGAGGAGAGGTAAACACAAACAAACTTTAGTCTCGATAACCTCGGTCTAAAATGGTAGCTACGTAAATTTATATAGCAATGACACAACTCAAGCCAAACTATGCAAATCTAATACAATCTAAAACCAAATATTATGAAAATAACAAATAAATCACACTACAATATCAACTTATCATCATCTTGTGTGTGTGTTGGTTTCATTCTTTTATTCCTGTCTATATAAATAACAAAATGTAAGTTGTGTATTTGTTGCTAAATAAATATTATTTTATATAAAGCCCTCTCTCTAAATAGAACTTAATAACCCAAATACAAATCACAGTTGTTGATAAGATAAAAGAATTTCAGCTACGTGTTATTTATACAAAATGGTTTACGTAACAAATATTGGCGCTTTTCCGAATATTAATTAAGGCGACAATTTCGAAGTTTTTTTTTTTTAAATGTCTGCTTTCAGCGTTTTCAGTAGATGAAACGTTTGAAAGTAAATAAACTCCAATTATTTTAGCCATTATAGGTCCAAAATTATATAATTGACCGAAGATCTATTTTCACGATAAGATGTGGCGTCCAAAATATTTAATGAAATTGTCCCTAAGTTGCAATATTACCTATCTCCTTGGCGAAAGTAATTCCCGCCAGAATCAAATTTTTAGAAAATACTTGTAAATAAAAATAACTCCTGTGAATTTAAATCTTCGATAATTCCGGAATACAAAAATTTAAAAGAATCTTCAAATCCTGCAATAAAGGTTGAACAATGCCCCTTGTCTAAAAAGAAGATATACTTGCTATCTCTTCTTGAAAAATAATTTAACTTTAGAAAAATAGATTTATCCCAGGCATACTTACACTTAGAACAAGATGAAACAACGAGGGAAATAGCTGTAATAAATATGAATAAAGGCCACTATAAATTTAATAGGCTACCCTTTGGCATACCTTCAGCCCCAGTCAATTGGCAAATGATTATTGAACCAATTACAACAGTGACACCAAAATTAATTACGGGTGAAACAGAACTGATCATTTAAAAATTGAGTTTTAAATAGCTTAAATGAATATGGCCTGAATGCTAATGAAAAAGAAAAGGGTAAGTTATTAATTGTAAATTAGTGAAATTATTATATTATAATACCTTGTAAGGTTGGAAATGAAGCCCTTCAATCCTGAATTTCTCTCATTCTACTTGAGAAAAGATAAGTCAACTATTGAAAGGGAATTCTACTTCTAGGCACTCGATTGATCATTCATAAGAAATAAAGAGCTAAAATCAAAACTGAATTACATTACAGACACATGGGTGTTGTCAAAATGAAAGCTGTGGCCCGAAATTTCATTTGGTGACCTGTAATAGATCATGCAAAATTTCTTCCTAGGATTTCCTCAAACGGGCAGAAGCTATGCCGGCTCGAAACTTGTAAGAACATTTTGTAAATGGAAAAAACAGACCCGGAATGTTAGGACGATATAATCTCAGCCGGTGAAACATGAGTCAACGGCTATGGCCCCGGAACTAAACCTCAATCCGCCAAAGGCGAGGTAAGGGTGAGTCTAGACCTAAAAAAACCAAGGATGTTCGAATCCAAAAACAAGGTAATACTGGCCAATTTTTTTGACAATGAGGGCATTGTTCAAGATGGGTAACTTCCAGAAGACACCAGAGTTAACAAGGTAGTTTATTTGGACATTCTGAGACGCTGAAGGGAAGCAATTCGGAAAGAAAAAACGGTCAGAAAAATAGGAAAATGGTAATTGGATTTTGCACCATGACAATACCGCTTACACATGGCGCATTTGATTTTGGGCTTTTTTGGCAAAAACAGAATTAAAATCTTACTTCAACCATTTTATGATCCACATATATAATCTCTAATGACTTCTTTCTATTCCCTGAACTCAAATAATCTCTAAAAGTGAGGCATTTTGACATGAGGAGTAATATTGTAACAAAGTATTTATTAATTTTATTATTTTTATTAACAGAGTGGTCATTTTTATGTTTATATTTTGGTACTCTGTTAATTTCCCTCGTGGCTTATCTTTTGTTTACCATTCATAGTTTGTTATTACCTGAAATAAATTGCTGTCTTATCCTGAAGTTGGTCTTTCCTTATTTTCCACGTGGCAATATTATTGAAAATCGCTTTCGATGCTGAATGGATTTACAAAAAAGATTTATACATTTTTATGGCAGTTAAGAGAGAGAGAGAGACTAAGGCGCAGGTGTTTCGAAGACAAAGAGAATTAGTTTGAAAAATATATCTCTTGAATTTTTGTTTCATGTTCCCAGTCAAGAAACATATTACACAGCCTTGTATATGCACCTGCAAAACGAGATCAACTGTTGATAGTAAAATAGAGAATCAAGCCATCAGATCCTAAAGGATGGAAGTTGGTAAATCTACTTTGAAAGTTTCAGTGCTACAAGAATTGGCCGATATAAATCTAGGCAAGCTGTAAAGAGATTTTCCTATTACACCATTGGTTGCATTGATAATGCATTATAAACCGTTCAACATATATTATAATAATATTTCACGATTCTATACACGCATAATATTATAAAATATATAAAGCCTTCAGGGCTAAGTTTTACAATACAATATAATGCGGTCTATGATTGTAAAACGACATTTGAAAAGTATCCCGCATGTGTTTCTTTTGAACGAAAAATCGAAATTTATTTTAAAGAAAAATAACGATTATTTCTAACTTTAGGGATGAAGGATTAAAGGATGAATTGTGAAGAGTAATGATAAACGGAAAAATAAAGTGTCCAGGGATGAGAATTTTCTTGTACAACTTTTTATTTTCAAGCTTTCGGACATTTCAGTACTTCAACAGGATTATCACGTTAACAAATTAATAATAAATATTATTTTTAATATGCATATTATTATTTAGATATTTTAAATACTTATGATATATTGAGATAAAAATATATTACATTCTTTGTATGTGAAAAACAACTTTTTGAAAATATACGTGCATGGTGGATTGTGCGTATGGTATAATATGCCTATAACAATACAATTATGCTAAATTATATACTTGGATACAATATATAATCAGATGCATAAATAAGAAAGTGTATATAATGCTCTCTTCAGTTCACTAAATTCCCGACAATCATTTGGTCAATTTGTTCAGATGAAGCCCTCTTGTTCATATAGCATTTTCTTTTTATTTCAACACATAAAACGCGATATTCCGGCTAGGGATAATTGCGTCGATTTACATTTTTTAAAACAGAAACAGTCATAAACATAAAATGGCAGATCCTTCGAATTCTAAAACTTCTAAACTATCTCCAGGAGATATCCAAACTCCTCAACACAGGACTGGATGCAGACACTCTGGCCATCTGTGTGAGGCTTATAGAGAACGAAGGTTCTGGCCCTGGTGGACCGAGAACTCTGCAAGGAGGGGGCTGCTCTCAAAGTTACCACCGGCTCTGCAGAGACTTCCTAGACCCAAGGGGGGTTGTAAATAGTTCACATCCCAAATAAAATATTTATGAATTCAAAATTCATAAACATATTATACAAGAAAAAAATAATAAAAAATGAAAAAGATAAACAATAATATATATTAGGAACCTGAATCTTTCAGGTTAGAAAGATAATCATGAATATATTTACAAAAATAGTTAAATCTATGATAATTATCTCTGCTATTTACAAATTGATATAGATCTACAACATTATTTATTGTCTGTTGTCTAGCGCTAGAAAAGAGTGGGCATTCCAGCAGTAGGTTTCTCGAGTCCTGGAATTCGTTGCCACAATGACAGCTAGAGTCTGCAACCGCTCCAATTTTTGATAAAAAATCCCTTAAAATTTACATGGTTCGTTGTAAACTGGGTATTATAAAAATTGGAACCGAAAAATGTTGTGATTCCAAACGGGAAAAAGCTTTGGAACACTGGGTGAGCGGAGTTGTCTGTGGTGGTGTCTTGAACATGCTGCTCCATGGAAAGACACGATACCATTGCCCTGTTAGTCAGCCACATTTCAGAGTTTCCTGTTCACGGTTACCGTAGCGGCTCGGGGCTCACGACACCGTACTTCGCCCTACAGGGCAGTCCCTTATTTGTGCTGCTTATACCGTCCGCCACGTAGAGGAGGGGTAGTTGTCTGTTTATAAATATATTTTACTAATACAATATAATGCGGCTTATATTTGTAGAACAACATTTGAAAATTATCCCGCATTGTTTCTTTTGAACGAAAAACGAGATTTATTTTAATGAGAAATAACGATTATTTCTAACCTTAGGGATGAAGTATAAAGGATGAATTGTGAAAAGTAATGATGAACGGAAAAATTAAAGTGTCCTGAAATGAGAATCGAACCCACAGTGTTACGCTTACCGGGCAGATGCCATGTCCACTAGGCTACTCTGGACATCATTACTCTTCACAATTCATCCTTTCATACTTCATCCCTAAGGTTAGAAATAATCGTTATTTCTCCTTAAAATATATTTCGATTTTTCGTTCAAAAGAAACACATGCGAGATAATTTTCAAATATTTTACTAAGTTGAAACACCAGGCTTCAAGCGATGCTTCTTTTAATCCTTGGAAGACTGACGTTCTCGACTTAATACTTATAGAAGGGATATATAATTGAATTATATTTTAGTATTATAATTAAAAAGGCATATATTGGATTAAAATATCATTTATTTTACCTTCTTGCAAGGTGTAGAGCGTCATAACCACAACTGGTTGATATCGTTTTGATCCAATATATGCATTTTTGATTAAAGATTTATTCATGGATTGAACTATTTCCAAAGCGATATTTTAGTATATAAAACATTTTATAAATGTATATTGTGTTTCTGAGTGGATTCAGAACTATTTCAGAGAAATTTAGAGCAAAACTATGAATGTAAAACAAATATTTATATTACAATATAATGCGACTTATGATTGCAGAACGACATTTGAAAATTATCCCGCATGTGTTTCTTTTGAACGAAAAATCAAAATTTATTTTAAGGGGAAATAACGATTATTTCTAACCTTAGGGATGAAGTATGAAAGGATGAATTGTGAATGGTAATGATAAACGGAAAAATAAAAGTGTCCAGGGATGGGAATTTTTATTTTTCCGTTTATCATTACCATTCACAATTCATCCTTTCATACTTCATCCCTAAGATTAGAAATAAACGTTATTTCTCCTTAAAATAAATTTTGATTTTTCGTTTAAAAGAAACACATGCGGGATAATTTTCAAATGTCGTTCTACAAATATTTATATATAGATATGATTTCCATAGGCTATATCATCTTCTTGTAACGGCAATCTTCTAGCCTCGATATTTCCGTGATGGCAAAATTCGTGTCAATCTGAATTCAGCAATTGCTTTCGCAAATTAACCTGAAAAACTATGCCCTAGAATCAAACCCTAAATCTCTATAAAATCTACAACCTCCCCCCCCCCCCCATATCTCAATACGTAATCTAAAAACCATTTTTCCCACAGATTAATTATCAAAGTATATAAGTATCTCTTCTTTCTTATCTCCACTCAATCATATTAGGGTATTAAGCTTGTTTGACAACCATCATGACTGTGTGAAGTAGAATGCGTCTGCCTTCGTCATTAAGACTGGGAGCACTACTCAGTAGCAGGCCGACTTAGCTCCAAAAGAAATGGTGACATGAGGAACAGACACCATGTACAGCCGCTCCTAACATGGAGTACAAACGCTGCTCATCCTGTATCCCTGGATTAAGAGACCTTACAGGGTACTATCAGCCGGGCAGGCTGAGCCCAGGTTTGTTAGCGAGCTTGTTATTGCTCCCACTCCTCCTTTTTCATCCGGGCTTGGGACCGGCAAAGGCGGAGTATATAAGTAAAATAGATAAATAAAGAGAAAACTTTGGACATACAGGGATAAGTTAAAAAAAAACCTATCCCTGGAAATCTAATTTTCTTCACTCAAATAACGATACAAGGAATTATTATCATAAAAAAAGAAACAGCTAATACAATAGTATTAGCGAAATGGCTCTGGATAGATTTAATTTTAACCAAGTCTTCCCAATATTCAATAAAGGTCAAGTGAGCTTGTCGAATATTGATTTAAATAGAAATATTTAATTTCAAACCATGATGATTCATATTTTCGGTAGCACTCAGAGAGTATATCAATATAATATCTGTGTTGTTAAATTTTCTTATCCTGATATTTTTATCCGAATACTTTTTGATGTATCCATGATAATCATCTATGCTGGGCGTCTGTTCCTCATGTCAGAGGCGGCCATTTCTTTTGGAGCTAAGCTGGCCTGCCACTGAGTAATGCCTCCAGTCTTAATGACAAAGGCAGACACATTCTACTTCACCCAGTCATGGTGGCTGTCAAACAGACACCATCAAAGGTCACAACTTGATATCCTTATATATGTGAGTGGAGATAAGGAAGAAGAATAAGAAGAGAATCTATACTGGGGTCTACTCAGATATTCCTATCGTCCAAAAAGCGCATGGCTTTCTTTCCAAACAAGAAAAATGACTTAGATTTTAAAATAATTGCAAAGTTTTAAACAGAAATATGAGGGTAGCCGAGAAAAATAGAGAGTAGTTCGTGGTTTCTTGTATTGCCGTGTTATACGCACGAGTAATAAATGAATGGTAAAGGATTATTCAAGAGTTATTCTTCAATGCCAGATAGCCTTGTTCAACTCCATGTCTGGAACAAGGGCGTTTCTTCTTACGTGTGGTTACAGAGGCAAATGTCTGGTTCATGTCTGAAACGCCCTTGAATCCCATTGTGCTTCTTCTTGATTGTCAAAATTTCAACTTATCTTAAGTGACGCATAATTTAAACCCGCTTATAAATGCGTTAATAATTGACTTAATGTCTGTCAAAATTTCGACTTAGGTAATGCATGATCTAAACTTGGTTAAATTCAATAATCATTGAATTTGCACACCAAAATGGTGTGTGGATCTCTTACCAAATCGAATAGTACCATTTAAAATAAAGTCTAAACCAAATACATATGAATTTATGCAATTGGCTATATGGATGAAGTGTATAATTGACTAATATTGTCATTTAAATTTCTACTAAATACTCTTTTATCAACTTTACAAGTGATTACTCTTTTGTTCCATTAAAATAAATCAACTACGCAATAAATGATTAATTTGAACTCATCGGTGATGAATCATACTAATGTTTCTTCCAATTCGACCTATTTGACCGAAGCAACTTTTTACTTTTTTGCATATATCGTATTTTTAATTAAAAAGGCATATATTGGATCAAAATATCATTTATTTCACCAATATTTCAGTTGACAGAACGCCAACCTTTATCAAGGTGTTATAACATTTTAAAGTGTGTCAACAACAAATTCAGCGCCACACTTGTTGTTGACACACTTTAAAATGTTATAACACCTTGATAAAGGTTGGCCTTCAGCCAACTGAAATATTGGTAAAACAAATGATATTTTGTTCCAATATACGTATTTTTAATTAAGGATTTATTAATGATTGCTCTATTTTCAAAATACTCTATTTTGTTGCTTAATTAGGAAGCTGGTATTCTGTTAGTCACAGAGAAAGATGGCGCAATGCTTTATATTCAGATTCTATTTTTCGCAAGATTATATTAATAAAGTGTTAGGAACCAATTCTTTCCTAGTCTACAATCGAGCAGAGTAAAAACCAACACCTCTAAGAAAATCAACACTTTTAATTTCCTTTCATAACTAACTAATTTACATCATTAAAAACCAAATATATACATTTAAAGTCGTCCGGTCATCTGGTCAAAATATAAATAAATTAATCTATGAAAAAACAACTTATAAAAATCCTAACAATGCCCCCCATTTTAAAGTTGTTTTCATACGCTCATCGGAGGCCTAGAGTGGCCAAGATCCTGGTCAGTTTAATTCTTCCAATTCCCCTAGTTAGAAAATCTGCAATACTCCCTCCGCCGAGCCGCAATTCTTGAAGATCTTCTTGGGATTATAGTTTCATTCTGGCCTTCCTCTTCGTCTTCTCTCCTCAGTTCTTCGTCTTCACAGGCCTACTCTTCATCCTCTTTTCGTTCTAAGTTATTCAGATTTTTCTCTACAGATATTGTTTCTTCATCAGTCCCTGAATATCCTCTTGGGATCGCAGCTTCATTTTGACCTTCCTCGTCTTCCTTCTTAAGTTCGTCTTTCTGATTTCTTTCCACCAATTTCGTCTCTTCATTTACAGATTCATAGTCTTCTTCAAAATTATCATGTAAAACCTGGAAAAAATCACTTTCAGGTGAAATTTGTTTATCGATTTACTTTGTTGAGAAAACGTCTTCTCTAAATCTGACATTTCTGGTTACGAAGACCTTATTGTTTCTGATGTCCCAAACCTTGTATCCTTTGACTACTTCCGGATAACCAATTAAAACACATTCTCTGCTTCTTGAATCAAATTTGGATCGACGCTGGTCGTTGTATGCCCAGGTCTGACAACCGAAAACTCGGATATGCTCAATCTTCACTGGCCGTTCGGTCCACATTTCTTCGGGTATTTTGTTACTTATCGCCTTGCTAGAACATTTGTTTCTTAAGTAACAAGCTGTATTAACGGCATCTGCCCAGAATGATTTGGGAATCCCTGATTCAAGTAAAATGCATCTGGCTGTGTTTAGCAATGTCTGATTCATTCTTTCCGCAGTTCCATTTTTCTGAGGTGTTCTTGGAACTGTAAGTTGTCGCCTGATGCCATTTTCAATAAGAAATTTATTAAATTCTTTGTTAACATATTCCGTTCTATTATCACTTCTTAGTACTTTGATTTTTCTGCTGTGGTAATTCTCAACATTGTTCTTATATCCCTTAAATTTGTCAAGTACCTCCGATTTAGACCTATGAAATATACTGTAGTGTAATGAGTGAAATCGTCTATGAATGTCACGAAATAATTGTTCCCTCCCTTCGACATTGGGCTAATGGAACCCACTACATCCGAATGGATGAGCTCCAAGGGTGATAAAGTCCTCTTACTTTCGACAGGTTTGGAAGGAAATGCGAGTCTTCGCATTTTACCTTCAAGGCATACCTCGCACTCAGCTGTGTCACTCACATTTTGGAGATCCCTTTTGTAAATGTGTCCCAGCCTTCTGTGCCAGATATCTGCACTAGGTGACTTCACTTTTGCTATCTTAAGTTCTTCCACTGTATAGATTCTTCCTCTTCTATTAGATTTCAAAATTAATCCGCCATCACTTCCAAAAACAGAGGCCTTGCCATTCTGGAATAAAACTTTGTTTCCTCTTTCCTCAATCCTTCCAACAGACAAAATATTTCCGTCTAATTCAGGAACGTATAATACGTTTTCCAAGAACAAGGTTTCACCTACATATTCGTGACCGAGTTTGATGG